CTGGGCGGAGAGGAACCTGATGAAGTTCAACAAGGGCAAGTGTCGAGTGCTGCACCTGGGGAGGTCGAACCCCATGCACCAATACAGGCTGGGGGGTGACCTGCTAGATAGCAGCTCTGCTGAGAGGGACCTGGGAGTCCTGGTGGACAATAAGCTGACCATGAGCCAGCAATGTGCCCTTGTTGCCAAGAAGGCCAATGGTATCCTGGGGTGTATTAAGAGGAGTGTGGCCAGCAGGTCGAGGGAGGTTCTCCTCCCCCTCTACTCTGCCCTGGTGAGACCCCACCTGGAGTACTGTGTCCAGTTCTGGGCTCCCCAGTTCAAGAAAGATGAGGAACTCCTAGAAAGAGTCCAGAGGAGGGCAACTAGGATGATAAAGGGTCTGGAGCACCTCCCCTACGAGGAAAGGCTGAGAGAGTTGGGCTTGTTCAGCCTGAAGAAGAGAAGACTGAGAGGGGACCTTATCAACACATACAAATATCTTAAGGGCGGAAGTCATGAGGATGGAAGCAGTCTGTTTGCAGTGGTGTCCAGCGACAGGACTAGGGGCAAGGGGTGCAAACTGAAACATAAGAGGTTTCAGTTGAATATGAGGAAGAACTTCTTTACTCTAAGGGTGACAGAGCACTGGAACAGGCTGCCCAGGGAGGTTGTGGAGTCTCCTTCTCTGGAGATATTCAAGGCCCACCTGGATGAAGTCCTGTGTAGAATGCTCTAGGAGAGCCTGCTTTAGCAGGGGGGTTGGACTAGATGATCTCCCGAGGGCCCTTCCAACCCTTGCGATTCTGTGATTCTGTAATGCAATGTGATGTGCTTCCTGTTAATGACAGTAAGGGAAGACCTTGACCCTGTGGCTGATGCTGGGTGCTGCATATGTCATTTTGTGTCTAAAAATATGTCTGTTTTTCTGGAGTCTTCTTGTTCTTTACTATCTTTACATTATGGTGATATTACAACACTACTATGCTGTAGCAGGCCTTTACTGATGTTATCTTGGATGTGAGCTGTTACAGGAAAATGACAGTATGGTGACCAAAACCATGCTTTTTAATAAGGTGAGGCTGCAGTGCCCAAATACCAACAGTTAGTTTGGCAGGTCCTGGCCTTCAGTTCTTGCCCCTAAACCATGGGCCTACGCTTGGCTGATAGCTGGAACCATCACTGTGGTGCACCAGCCGTGGGGGGAGCACTGGTGGACAGAGGAACCAGCAGCCCTTCTTACCCTACCTGATGCATCAAACCTGGCTTTAAACTCTGGAGAGGCCAATTCCTTTGTGCTTGGACCACCAGTGGAAGAACCTGGATTCTCCCCCTTCCTTAGGTCTCACAGCTGATGGACCTGTGCAGTCCCAGTCTGGGGCTCTCGATTAAGCCACATTTCCATCCAAACCATTGCTTCTTACAGGAGGTATTATTTCCACTGTGGAGGCCAAGTTCATTGCAGTCGGTGCTCACATAAACATCTGCAACATGGACCTTTAGGGGTGCCAAGGGCAGCTAAACAAATGTGAGCAGTTACTCAGTTTCCTATTTACCAAAAGAGAGAGCAGGGCTAGATTTTGGCAGTTTAGGTGGGCAACGGTGTTATTTCCATGTTCTAGAATAGCTCAAGTGAGCAATCCGTAAGTGCCTGGAAGGCTTAAGGGAAGGGATGTTAGATGTGCATCCACCTCCAGCAGTCAGCACGGTTACAGTGCCAAGAGGCTTCGCCCATAGATCACATCCATGCCACGGCTGTAACGTGATACACTTTGTATAAAAGGTATAAAAGAAGAGCTCGGTAGCAGTAGCTGATTCATGCTGGAGCTGGATTTTTACTGCTGGTGTGAGACAACCCAGGGTTGCAATGAAAACCTGCCTTTGCAGGCCCCACGCAGGGGTTTCACAGTCTCTTGGAGAGAGAGGCCAAACTATGGAAATCCTCTGCTTTAGTCCTCATTCTAATATTTCCTACCCCCGCGGGCCCCCGTGTTTGTGATTGCTTGTCTCTCACGAAGGCCATGACGAACGGCAATGCCTCGCTCAGAGGCAGTGCTGAGCAGAGATCCCACCCGCGGGGTCCTGGCCTGCCCTCGGGAGGCTCCACCCCCGAGGCAGGGGACGGGGCAGGGGGGTGGGGTGTGAGCGAGGTCTCCCAGGGAATCGGTGACATTCGGTGACCTAAGCCACCGTCAGCCTGGTCAGAACTGGCAGTGCTG